GGCTCCAGCCTTAACCCTTCAGGACCCGGGCCTCTTTGGCAGCCACCACCAACCTACGAGTTGTCTGGGGCACCTTAGCATTTGCAATAACAGGTTAGGACTAGCAGGTGTTTACGCTGCAGGAAAAGGCAAAGCACAAATTCAGAGGGGTTATACACAAACCTCACCAGGCTCCACCATCAGAGGCCACAGAAGCTAGCCCTACCACGTCTCTGCCAACGCTCACTATGCTGGCCATGAAATGGAGTGAAGCTTAGAACATGGGTGAGCCTTTTCCTGCTCAGGGTTCTTTCCACCACAGCACAGCCTACTAGCTGGAGGATACCTTTGCAAGATCCTTACAGGTACTCACTCAGAGTGCCGAGACAACGGGACAGTTCGACATTCCATGTCAGCAGCATAGAGAAACGTACCCTATAGTCCCTAAAAGGGAGTAGCATGCAGCCACTATAATGACATAAGAACACACTTGATAGACAGAAAAGGCACCGATCAAAAATAGAGCTCTATGGGACCAGCAGATGGCGTAGCCACATGGTTGAACACAGTTTGTTACAGACCTAGCACTTGAGAACTCATGCTGGGTGCATGTGTGTACATGCCCAAGATGTAGAGAGGGGAATGGAGAACGGATTACAACATGCTCTTCCCCCGAGGGATGACTTCTCACTGTGTACATAGAGCACAGGCGCCCTATAGCAAAAACTCTCCATAAACGAAACAAAAAACCCCTCTAATTTCCTCTCAAGTATTTTTTAAAAGCAAGCCCAGAAAGTTACACTAGCTATGTTTGCTATTTAGCATTTTCAATGAGTTAAGAGAACATTATCATTTTTTTGATAGATTTTTGCTACACGATGTGTGCACTTACCGGAGAGAGAGAGAGAGCTAGAAAGTGAGAAATCACCCCCCAGTGGGGATGGCCACACAATACCGCAATCCCTTCCCCTCCGCTCTCCTCCCAGGATCTTGGGTCCCATGCACATGCTCTTGGCTAAGTGTGAAGCCACACAGACCAGAACAGCAGTCAGCCATGTGGGAAAGTCCAGTGACGTGACCGCTACGCCATCTGCTGGTCCCCAACCATATCATTTTTACTGAAGTTATAAAGCATCGTGCAGTCCTCATGGACTATCTCCTAACAGCTCAAAACAAAGTCACATCACATGGGCCAGCAGGTGGCCTTGTGATTAAGGTGCTAGATACTCCCACATGGCTAACCAGGGTTCATGTCCTGGACCTGGTGGCTTGCTTTCTCATTTTCCTTCTCTCTTTCTCTGGTCAAATTAAAATAAATAAATAAAATTAAATACATATTTAAAAGCCACATGTACAAACATATGTCTTTTTACTCTTTGCTAGAGGGCATGTGTGCTGGCCAGAGGGAGGGAGAGGAAAAAGCACCTCCTATGGGGAATGGTCATGCCACAATCCTTTCTCTTTCACCTCTCCCTCCTGTGGTCTGTCATGTGGCTCTGGGCTCCCTTAATCACTAAGCTACTGGGACAGCCCTGATAAAACCTTTTAAAAGATCCCTAGACTGCTCTTATCTGAATTTTGATCTCTCCGTTAGGTCCGTTAGCCATCCTAGGAGGATGGGAATACTAGCACAGTGGAACAGAGCCCCGTATCCTAACTGGCTTCCTGGCTCCTGCCCGATCCCCTACGCTCAGCAGCCAGAGCCTCCAACGGCCGACTCACTGCGACGCAGTCCCACCAGCCTGCTCTCGCCCGCCTCGCTCTAACGGTGATTTCCTTGCCTCTTCTCAGAAAAAGCAGACTGGGACCTCCCAGCGTGCACAGGTGGCTGGCCTACCACACAAGACTTCAAAGTTTGTAGAAAAATTAGTCTATTTTGCAAAAATATGTGAGACCCATGCAGTCTTTTGGTGATATACATTTTCCAGTCACTTTCTTGAGGCTGCTTATGTTTGCGAAGTGGCTGTGACCACTCTTAACAACCCCACAGCCCTTCTCAGCTTGTGTGAGATTATCCTTTACAGCAGAATGCCTGACATCCCTGACCTCCAGGCACTAAGAGCAACATAGGCCAAGTTACCATAAAAAAAATAATAATAAAATAAAATCCACCCCTGCAAAGTTTCAAATACCCTAGGGCAGGGTATGGGCAGCATTGCCGGTTCATTCAGCAAAGTACTTGGAGGCTTGGTGCTGTAGTACCATAGAGGCCCACTAGGGACACTACCTACTCCAAAGACAACAGGCCCGGTCTCCAGGCCTGAGGTGGGGCATGAGAGTTCTAACAAACTCCCAGGGGATCCTATGTACCCAGTCACAATCTCAACCCCAAACGTCAAAGCTTTAAAAACCTCAGCAGGGCATGTTTGGAAGTTGTTTCTAGACAGAGTAGGGGCAAGCTGTCCAGATAGAGGGGGCTCTAAATTAGTTAGGCAGTGTCCCCAGCTTCTCTGGTCCCTTGGGTGTTCTAGGACACAATGAACATCTCACTCCTAGCTGGAGCTAAGACTAAAATCCAGGAAGTTCTCTGAACTTCCGACAGTGCCTTTTCTGCTGGGCAGGAGCCCTGGTAGTTTTATTTTTAAATGAGAAGTCACCTCAGCTGAACGGGTGATATGGCAGGACTAAATGAAGGTTAGGCAGGTTTGTAGTTAACAGAAGAGACACACAACAAAGCCTAACCGCATGCTGGAGAATCCCAGAGGCATTACAGGGACTTTCTATGTATTTTAAAAATAACTATTTAATTTGATTTATTCATTCACCTATTTTGACCAGAGACAAGACACAGAAAGTGAGAAAGCAAGCCACCAGGTCCTGGACTCAAACTGTGGTCAGATATGTGGGAGTCCAGTGCCTTAACCACGCCACCCACTGGTCCTTGGGACTTTCTACATTTTGTATTTCTGAAATGACTTGAGATGAAACCTGAGCTCTGGCTCCCCCCAAGATGTAAAATCGACATTCCAGTTAGCACCTAGCACTAGCTAACCGCCTCTTCACCCAGAGTTCTCAACCAGTTTGCTCCAGCCGTGGTCAGTGAACAAAGCTGAATCACAAGCATCAGACTCCACTCTTCATGTTGCCCGGTGGCGAAGACACAGCATCGGCCTGTGGGGGATGGTCACACAATCCCCTGCCCTCCATTTCTCTAGCCTGTTGGAATCGGGGCATGCACACACATGAGCAGAGTATTTCCCAGGCTACCAGGAAGAGAACTCAAATGCGGGGTCAGACAAGTAGGACGTGGCTGCCCCAACCACAAGCCAGAGCCAGCCTCAGCTTCCACTCTGTAAGGTGTACCTCTGGCTCCACCGTACCAGATTGAGAAGTGAATCCATGTTTATATTTCAAGTAGAATAAAAAGGTATGTTAAAGTGTATCTAATTTGGGGGCCAGCAGGTGGCATAGTGGGTCAAGGACTGTCATGTGACCAACGATGGCTAGAGTCCTGGACCTAGTGGCTTGAAAATCATGCCGGACCCGTGTGCCCAAAATCCCAAGGGGGATGAGACACGATTACAGTGTGGCTATCTACCCTGGGTGTGTGTGTGATTTCTCCAGCTCGTGTACACATCCTATTTAAAAAACTTAAAAGTGTAACTGATTTTTCTGGATACTTTATTAGGTACACAAAATGATGTACAGCTTTTAAGCTAGAAAACAGCACCAAAAAAAAAGGCCCAAAGGTAACTGAATTCATTAGTCACAAGTGAGTAAAATTACAAAACCAAACATATGCTCAAAATTTAAACCCCGGCTGGCAGGTGGTGTGGTGGTTAAAGGCGCTGGATTCCCACGTGGCTGATCACGGTTTGAGTCCCAGACCTGGCGGTTTGCTTTCTCGTTTTCCCTCTCTGGCCAAATTTTAAAAAATTACAAATGGAATTAAGTAACCATTTTCAAATAATTTTTACTGAACTTTACTTAAATTCGATCAGAGAGGGAGAGAGTTAAAGAAAGCGAGAGAGAGCCACCAGGTCTGGGACTCCCAAGTGCGATTAATCATGTGGGAGTCCAGCACCCTTAACCATGCCACCTGCCGGCCCCATAATTAAAAAAAAAAAAAACCCAAATTGAAAATGGTGAATGGCTAAATATTGCCTAATGGTCAGAGAAATGGAGCCACTGCTTTAGAAATCTCGTAAAAACCACTATAGGCAAGAAACATTTCCTTTATATCAGAGGGAAGCGATTTATAACATTTCCCGTAAGTTTCTCAGAAACTAAACTAGGGGCTGGACAGCGGTGCACAGGTGAACTTGACATTACGAGGCTGGCCCAGTGGAAGGGCGACGGATCTTCTTGTGCATGCTGGGCATGGATCACAGCAGTGTCAAGACCCTGTTGATGGCACTCTTGCTCATGGAACTTCAAAACCAAACCAAACCCTACCCTCAAAATGAATCCTTTAAAAAAAGAGTACTATGTGCCTGGTGGTCTGGTAAGCATTCTACACATATTAAACCACCTCCCTCGAGGAATATCTCTACTTCCTGTAGGACACAGGTAAGTCGAGCTGGGAACTGTGGGAACTGTACCCTAACCCTGGCCTCACCCTCTTACACTGTCCAGTCTCTCTAGGTCCCCATTTTAAAGGAAATCTGAGTAAGTCAGGACCTGCTCCCAGGTGTCACACCAAAGCCTGTGATCCCTTGTCTACACACCAGTGCTGCTACGTGTCCCTAGCTAAGAACAGAACCACTAGCTAGAGGGAAGCCTTCTGGAATGTGGATGCACTGCCCCCTGCCTTTTAGTCAAGGCTCTGTATTCAAACCCAACCCCAGTCACCCCTACCCTCTCAAATCCACTGCCAGGAGACTGACTACCACAACACGGCATAGTAGCGGGATGTGGTGACACAGGCAATGCTATGAAGCCCAGCTCGGATCCACCCAGGAACATTGGCATCCAATTAGAGGGTGACAGGGTTGTCAGCAATGCCCATCGCAGCTTTAAAGTGGCTCGAGGTCCAAGGACTTGAAAATGCCTGGCGCCTTCACAGAACACACACAGTAAGGTATATTTCATTGAAAACATTTATTGTTCTTTTGAATAGAAACGGTTATTTATTTGCCAGGAAGGATGATTCCATCATACTGAAAGAGAAGAGATTTTATGTTTTCAGAACAAGAGGCAACAGCAAAGACTGCAGCAATGGCTAATGTTTGAAAAGTCAAATGTGATACAGTAGCTTGGCTCTGAACCCCATACATACTTTCTGTACTAAACACCTAAGGAAGTCTGCTGGAGTTAACCACTGCCATATTGTGCGTGCTTACACTACACCTGAGGAAAGGGGCTCCCTTTAAAGCCATGTTCCTCCCCTTCCAGCTACCTTGCTTGGGGGGATAGAGAGAAGGTCTAGTTCCAGGTATTCTTTTGAAGCACCAACCCTGGAACCCTTACTTGCCAAGGTCCCCAAACATTTTATCTTTAAAGAAACTACCCACCAGGTGCTCTGCACTCCCAAATCCCACCTCCATCACCAAATACAACCAATTCACTTGAGACAAACCGGCTTTACCTTCTGCTGGAACCAGCGCATGGCCTCCTCTTTGCTGATTCTGTGTTTGGCCCCAATGCAGCCCGTCCTGCGCTTCTTGTCTGCGATGCTGAAACCTGGCCTACCCAGCACCTGTCCCAGGAATAACCAAGAGTCATCTAGTCAGCTCAGCATCAAGATCAGGCAGACAAGATTCATACAGCAGATTGGTCTTCAAGATCCTCCACTGCCCATCTCCAAATAGTTTAAAAAACAAAACAAAACAAAACAAGGGACCAGCAATAGGCATTAATAGCTATGTCCCACATAGTGGACCACTGTTCGAGTCCTGGACCTGGTGGCTTAAACTCATGTCGGATGTGTGCCCAAGATCCTGAGACTGGAATGGAGAAGGGATTTGTGGCGTGGCCATCCCCCCATGGGGGGGGGGATTTCTCACTTTTTGTCTCTGTCTTTGTGGTGAGCACACATGCCCTATAGCAAAAACCTTTCCAAAAAACCCAAAACAAAACAAACAAACAAAAAACCCATGTGCATTAAAACAAACAAACAACCTTAAAATTCATGGGCCAGCAGGTGGTATGGTGGTTAAATACGCTGGATTCCCACTGCAGACCAAGTCCTGGACCTGGCAGCTTGCTTTCTTTCCCCTTCTCTCTCTGATCAAATTAAAAAATAAATAAATAAAAAATTCTGAGCGGGACTAGCAGATAGAGTAATGGCTACGTCACTGGACTCTCATGTGGTCAACTGCGGTTCCAGTCCCGGACTCGGTGGCTTAAACTCACACAAGGCGCGTGTGCGTGCGTGCCCCAGATCTGGAGAAGGGACGGGGGCA